GCCCCCCCCGTGTACACCACTCACTCCCTGCCCCACCCCCGTGTACACCACTCACTCCCTGCCCCCCCACCCGTGGACAACACTGGCTAGGAAGGTATCCAATTGTCTCTTGTTGACGGGGCTGCGGGAGGTCGAGGTGAACGTAACACCTGTGCACCTGGGCCCAGGACTGCCCCCCGCCCCCCCCCCCAGGGACCCTCCTTCCAGGGCTGCTGTCCAGGTGCTGCCTGTGCTCAGACAGGTGTTGGTCTTGGGGGAGGGGGCCATGCGAGGCATGGGGGGGGTGGGTGATGCACTGGGGGAGGGGGGCCAGCGAGGCCCCGGGGGAGGGGGACCAGGCGAGGCAGGTCTGGGGCCTGGTCTGCACCTGCACCGCGTCCAGTTTCTCCCGACCTCTGGGGACACGCCCACTGCTCACCCCGGGCTCGGGGTCCCCAGGCTCCAGCTCATGGCAACCCTGAAACACTGATATTTAAACGGAACGGGATTCTGTTCCTGTCACAAAAAGCACATAGCATCACTCGCGTCTAAGATCTGACATGAATTCTCGCGTGGTTGACGGAAGGTGGTCGCAGGCTGCCCACGACCCCGTGTGAGCACACTCTTTGCCGCTTCTCCCTCGTGGACGGAGAAGGCGTCATTAAGCGTCAGGGAACCGAGGGTCTCAGTTCCCGAAACTCGACGTCCTTACCGAGCGGGCCGAGCGTTAGGCTGTGAGGCGATCGGGCAAGTCACGGGGCTCGTGTGATTCTCCCCAGTGCTTCACTATCTCCTGCGGGAACCGTGAGAGTACGGCTTTCCCCGGGCCGTGGCGGCGCCCCACGCCCTCCGGCGCCCCTGGGAACGCCACACCCTCAGCGCCGTGACAGCGTCCTAGCTACTTGGGAGAGCACAGTCCTATTTTTAATGTGTGTTTCTTTATTTTGAGAGGGGGCAGAGACGGGGGGAGGGGAGAGGGAGAGAGAGAGAGAATCCCAAGTAGGCTCTGTGCTGTCAGCACAGAGCTCCCACAACTGTGGGGCCGTGACCTGGGCCGGAATCGTTCTGGACACTAAACCAACTGAGCCCCCAGGGGCCCCTGAGCGTCATTCTAACTAATCCCCTTCGTTCTCTTCTCGGGCTCTGTCCAGGGGGCTGCCTCCGGTCCTGACCCTGCTGTCGGCCTCACAAGGGCCCACGAGGCGCCACCCCGATGGCCGGCCTGAGCAAAAGAAGGAGCCATTCTCCATGTGAAAACGTGGCCCGTTTATTTGAACTGAAGGCATCGTTACATAGTGCAAACGTCTCTTTGGTAATGAACTGGTTACAATGAATGTAAAAAGGCACTTGGCTGTTGGCAACAGTTAGAAAGTAAATAAATATGTACATGCGCTTCCTGTCCCCGTGGCTGCTGAGGGGCCCCGGGGGCCTGCCCGCAGCTCGGCCACTACATGGGAGATCGCTCCCGTGGCCCCGCCACAGGCCATGTTCCGCTGCAGCCCCAGACCGGCCCCGCGCGTCCCCGGCAGCGGCCCCTCCCGGGCGGAGGACGAGGTCCCAGCCACACATTCCAGCCCACGTGGGAGCGCCTGCAGCAAAGCCACACGTCGGCTCCAAAGCGTGTGTAGACGCCAGCCGCTCCCAAAGTGTAGGGTCTGCCGTCGTTCTCTACCTGAGCAACTTCCGCAACCTCCACGCTGCGGATGGTCACCTGCTCTCTACTTGACAGAAATCGGTTCTAAGGTTTGGTTATTAAACGTGACTTGATCCCTCAAAGGCTGCCCCGTGCCCCACGGGACAGGGGACCGTATTTACCACTTAATGTTACAGGGATGAGAAGTCAGGTCGGCCGTGTTCAAAGCCACTGAGAACACGCTCATGGCGGGGATGGTACCTCCATCCCACGGTTGGGGCCCGCCGGTTGCAGAGCCGGGGTCTCCTGCTTCCAGAAGGGTGCCTGAGCCGGGCCCAGACCAGGCTTCGAAACAGCCCACGACGTGCTCGACTGCCTCCTGGGCCATGGAGGCGATGGCTCCCCCAGCCCCAACCCGGGGTGCCCTCCACGAACGAAACCACCGGTGTCCCCAGGGTCTTCCCGTGGCGCCCGCAAGGGGGCGCTCAGGTCACGTGTGCTGAGCTGACCTTGTACATCCAGGGACACATTTCTCAGGACTCAGAGCACTTCAACTGACAACAAAGAAAGAGGTTTCTGGACAGTTAAAAAGAGAGAGACCATGAGGTATGATAGTTGCTCTTCACTGAATTCTACGATAACTTTTGCATAGTGGACGTGACTTCTCCGCCGTTCCTGACACCTAAAACGTGGGCAACATCTCATAAAACATCATGCATTTTGAAAACACAAATGAGGTATAGGGACCGACTGTTCCCTGAAGGCACACAACCCGAAGCTAGAGAGTCCCCAGCACCAACTCCTCCGGCGGGAGAGGCTCCGTGCGCAGCGCGCCAGGCAGGGCCACGCAGCCCGTGGCCGGGGGCCCTCCTCACGGGAGGGAGGCTGAGCCGCGGAGCCGTGCATGAACGCAGGTGTCGGGTTGGGGCCCGGACCCACGCCCAGACCGCCCCCCGCTGTCCCGAGCCCGATCTTGCTGTCCCTGCGGTGCTGTCCTTCTGGCGGCTCCGTGGCGCGCCCTCACAGTGGGCGGCTCGTCGGCAAGCGCCAGGCGTCAGAGCCCAGCGGGACACACGTCTGGTCGAGAAGACATGGCAGCATCCGGGGAAACGAATTCAGGAGCCTAAATGACTGGACCGTGCAATTTAATAGTAGCACCAATTTCTCATTAAAAATCTTAAATAAAAACCTGAGAATCTAACGTGAAGTTAGGGCACGTGTCCGTGGCTTCTCCTCGGCGAACGCTCTGGTCTGAGCACCTGTGCTGCTTCCGAGGCAGAAGGGGTCCCGGCCGCGATGGTCCCTGCCGTCCGCACGCCGCGAGCCGGCCCCGAAGGCCTCACGGAGCCGACGGTCTCTGGCCTGCGCCAGACGCGGGACACACGGGACAGCAGGCCCCCGGGGCTCTCTCGGGCGCCGGGCAGTCAGCAGGCTGGCAGGCCTCCACGAAGCAGGTGACCTGCCCGTCCTGGGGGAGACAGGCACCCGGACGTGTCAGTTCCTGGGGCGCGTCCTGCACGTCACCCGCCTGCCCTTCCCACCGCACACCTGAGCATGCACTGGGACACGGGCCACTCCCCGACGGCTCACAGCTTCTGGAAGGTTCCTGCCCTCTGCCTCTCGCCCTCCCCCCACCCAGAGGACAGCCCGGGACCATGGGCTCAGCACACGCTCCTGTCCCCACACCTGAGACCCATGTCCAGGGACATCAGCCAGAGGAGGTCAGGGGACGCTGTCCCTCTCTGCTGTCATCGCCAAACACGACAGCCACCAGGGACGAGGAAGAATGAATCCCCTTCGCAGCGTGCACCTAAGGCGCCAGGCCGGCCCACTGGCCTCCGGTCCTGACCCCCAGCCTCTGCCCCAACCACTGGCCTGGACACCGCGGCCACCACGGCGGCCCGCCCTCCCCGGAGCCCCGGGCGGGCCCAGCCTCCTCGCAGTGCGAACGCTGGCTGCTCGGCAGCGGCCTGCAGGCCCACCCGCACCCGAGGCTCTCGGGGGACCGCCTCTCACTTCTGAGACCAGGAGCGTGGCCCCTGGGGCCACCCCGGAGCCCAGGGCCCGGAGCCGCGTCCGTGCGCCCGGTCCCAAGTCGGAGCCCCACACTCACGCGGCACTCGCAGGCGGTGCACGCGTCTCCCTTCCACTTGGCGCCATTGGCGCGAGGCTCCCCGTGTGCGTCCGTGCAGTCGGCGGCGCTGAGCCGGGCCTCCAGTCTCTTTATCTGCAGCAAAGCAAAAGCACGTACTGGGCACCTTCGCCGGGCAGGGCGCCCCTGGTTACAGGGCCGGCCGCGGGCAGACGGGACAGCGCTGACCCGGCCCCGCACCTGCCGCTACGCGGGCGGACGCTGCGAGGTGCGGGGCGGCAGCTACCGGGAAGAGGCCCCGGGGACGCGGAGGGCGGGCTCCCGCAGGCCGGCGAGCGCTGAGCTGCGACTCCAGGCAGCGGACGCCGTGACCATTCTCCCCGGGCACCCTTCCTCCGTCCCTGCGGCTGGGCCAGCGTCTAGACCGTCCTCACGTGGGGGCCCCCAGAACGGACACCACGGGGCACAACCCCTGACATGGCGTCAGCAGCTCCGATGACGGGCAGGAGGGACCACGTAGAGCGAACTCGCAGACCCTGACGCGCCCTCCCTAAATGCGCTACGTGTACGCGCTGACAGTATGCTCCCTCCCTAAATGCACTAAGCGTACGCGCTGTGAAAGCACGGAGAGCAGCACAGCCTCCCACCTGCGCGAGGCCAGACGGCCACCCGGAGGCAGCGGGGTCCCTGCCCGTGCATTCAGCACCCACCTCACCCGCAGCCCCGTGACCTGGCGCTGGTGGGCGCTCGGGTGGCACGTCACGCCGTGGCTCCTGTGGAAGCCAGGCAGCTGTCAGCATGACCCACCCTGAGGTCACGGGTCCTCAGAACCAACATCTTGTGAGTGGGAAGAAAAGCACGGTCCCCGAAGCTACAGCAGCAGCAGCCACGGGCCGGGCAGGGCTGCCGAGGACGGCGGGGGCGCCCCTCGCTGGCTGCTGACCCCGTTTCCGCAGGAAGCCGGAAGCAGCCAGGACGGAGCCGCATCCCCCTCAGTACAGGAAGAACGTGAGCACATGTCGGGGATCAGAGCGGCCGTGCAGAGTAGGAGACGCCACCAGCCTCCACACTCCCTCCTGGGCAGCGAAGTCACAGCCGACGTTCCCCGGCACGTCACTGCCCCGATGGCCGACCCTGTCCTGAACCGCAGGGGCGCGTAGAGCAAAGGGGACGGACGGCAGTGTCACCTCATCCTGTGGGTGTGGGAAGTCAGGAGGCCGCAGACAGATGCACAGACGTCGGGCTCACACTGCCCCGTCCCCCTCCCTCCCCTGCCTCGTCCCCCAGGCTCATCCCCCCCACCCCGCCCCTGCTCATACTGATCTACCTGCAGATGTGACCCCGCCCCCTGCCCCCCATCTGCGGATGTCCTGGGTCAGCAGCACAGCCCGCCGGCCCCAAGGGACTGTCTTCAGGACACCCAGCGCCCACCTGTCTCTGGCTGAGCCCCCAGAACGCCCTGTACCCGTCACAGCCTGGGTGTGTCTCTGGCTCCAGGTGACTTTCGGGGGCCTCTCTCCCTGGTGCGTCACCCCTGCACTGAGCCCAGTGCCCGCTGTCCCCTCCCGGCCTGCATCCGTCTGCCGAGTGACAGCTCTGGGCCACACGCCTGAGGGCCGTCAGGGGAGACGACCTCACATGTGTCAAGACAGGAGAGCAGAGACGGTCGGAGCGGGCACACCTCTCCGTAAGGCCCCTCACCTGGGGACTGAGTCCCGCAAGTAGGAACGGGGTCGTGCTCCAAGACCACCACTCACAGGCACGTCTCCAGAAGTTTCCACAGCGCTGGGAACCCTTGCCAGAGGCCTCCCCGAGGTCCGTGCTTATCACTAAGGCCTCCGTCTCTGCCCATGAAACGTAAAATCCCACCACTGAGGACCAGACACGGACACGGGGGAGGAGGAAGCAAGCTCCCTGAGCTGGGGAAGGGAGACCGTTTTCTGCAAAACCCTACGGATGCCCAGAGGAGGGCCCGGTGTGCACACGGTGCTCTGCCCACCCGAGGGGGACCTGGCCACAGAACAGCTCCTGACCCCTCCCTGGGAAAAAGGTTCACATCGTCATGGCTTCAGGACGGGACCCTGATCCTGAGCCCCCTCCCGACCTATGGTCTCCCTCCACAGGGGCACCTGCGGACAGCTCGAAGCAAGAGCCCCCGGCCGCCGGCAGACCTGAGGGCAGCCCAAAGCGGCTGGGCCAGCAACAGGCCACAAGGAGCCCCCGGGGGGACGTGGCGTCCCAGAGGCTCCAAACGAGGGCAGGCCCTGGGCACACGGCACAGTCGCGGCGCGAACAGGACAGTTACCTGCTTCCTGAGGTCCGTGATGGTCTTCTGCATTTCCACGACGAAGTCCTTGAAGTCGTTCGGCCCCGGAACTCGGGGGCGCTCCCAGGACACGGCCGTGGCATTGCCTGGGTGCTTCTCATGCTGCCCAGCGCTGCGGGGGAGGAGGGACACTGTGACACGAGCTGCAGGCAGCGGGGGGCCGCACGTGCCCCGCCCAGTGCCCAGGACTGCCATCCCCCACCCCCCTGAGACGGCCGTACCTCCCTGTCCCCCCGGGTCCTGCGCCCGCGACGGGCCCATCTTCCTGGTAGCTGAACCCCAGGGAGCGCCTGCCTCGGAGGTGGTACGAGAACGCGTTGAACTGCCCGCGGGTCCTGCAATCTGAGAGGCGAGCGGAGGAGGTGTCGGGCGCAGCCTGGGAAACGTCAGCCCGTCTTCCCAGCGGGTGCACGACACAGGCCCACCGCCTGGCGCTTCCAAGGCGGCGTGTGTACCGTGTCCCCCTGTTCCCAGGAACCTCCAGCTGCTTCAGCCGCCTGCAGGCATGCGGCACCCCAGTCGTGCTCTCCAGCCTCACGTCTGTCGGCTCACGCCGGGGCCCCCTCCAGCGGCCAGGGTGCCGTGCACCCTGCACACACCGCGCCCCCTCCAGCAGCAGGGCCCCAGGAAGAAAACTGGACACGGAGAGGAGCTGGCGCCAGGCGCTATGCCGCGCTCCGCCTGATGGCCGCCGGGACCCAAAGGCAGGGCCTGGAGCCCCTGTGCCCACCGCGGCGGCGGCAGCGGCGCTCGGCTTCCCGCACAAAGGTCAGGGGCAGTGACTGGCCCGCATCAAGCGCCTCCAGAAGCCGCACAGAGAGACCGCAGCCCTGCCCGTGGAGCACTCGCGCCCCGGACGCAGGCCCTGGGTCTGGTCTGAGACAAGCCAGCCTGAACCCAGGGAGAGGCCACAGCGGGCCCGGAGGAAGACAGGGCGCCTGGGCCGCGAGGTTAACCCCCATCGAACGCGTATCCACACTACCTTTCCAATCTTGCACGTGCACACACTCCAGTGAGCTATTCAGGGGCATAGTGGCTCCCTCATCCAGGTCAGGGAAACGCAGTGTATTTACGTACAAACACACACGCGTACACCAATACACAAATACACACATGTGTACACGGGCACACACATACACAAGTGTACACACATGTGCGTATGTGCACACGTGCGTGCACATGCCTACACGTGTGCAAATGTGCCCGTGTGTGCTTGCACACATGCACATACACAGCACACAGGCACATGTGTGCGCACACACATGTGAACGTACTTGGGCACACACGTACTCATACACACAGACACGTGGGAGAGAATAGTGACTGCTAGGTAGCAAACGAAACTAATGGATTCCATCAGCTACAGGAATTCTCTCCCTATTTTTTAATTAACTCAACTATTTCAAATCACTCGTATATGTGTGTGAGTGCGTGCGGGTGCCTACGTGTTCCTCCTCGCGGCCCATCAATCCCTCCAGAGGCGCGATGTGAACCCTGGTAAAGAGTAAGGAAACTACCCGCCCGGGAACCCTCCCCTCTGGCCCCGCCTCGCATGGGGTGCCCGGGTGTGACAAGCAGCGAGCTCTGCTGTCAGCGCGTCTGTTGTAAAAGTGGAAAAACTCTGTTTTCCTGCTGTACTTTAAACATGACTCCTGAGCCACAAGGAAAGACGAGGCTTAGACAGCGTCCTGCAACCTGGCCCGGCCGGGCCGGGCCTGTTTCTGGAGAAGCGTCAGGGAGAACGGGTGTCAGAAATGCCTTCGACAGCTGCTCGGACAGGGGGCCCGGCCCCAGCGGCTCCAAGGACAAAGCCCGTTGGGCGAGGCCCCGTGTCTCCGGGACTCTGGGCTTTCGGAGCTGAACGACAGGAACCCCGGCCCGGCCCCTCCCGTGCAGCGAGGGCCCTGGCAACGCCAGCAGGAAGCCAGTCACCCGAGAACTGGCTTTTCCCAGGGGCTTTAAGACAGAGCACTGCCCAGCACTCTCTGCGCGTCTGCAGAAAAGCACGCGGAGCCGGACAAACCAACGAGGACGTTTTCCAAAGAAGCCAAGACAAGACAGACAAGGTTCCTTCAACGGGACAACGAGAATATCAATGTTTTGGAAGAAGGGGGGGAGGGTGCAGTAAACTCAGTTTTAACATTCACGGAATTCTCTTATACACTTCGCGGGCCACACATCACAGGTGCACGCACAAGGGGCAGATGGATGTGGGCGGACCCACAACCAGCTCAACACACTCACACACACACACGTGCACACGCAAAGGGAGACACAGCACACGGCTCTAACCCAGGAACCCAGTTGACGCGAACAGCAGCCAACTGAAAGTGGGCACAGCTCCAGTCTGTGCTCCCTGCCCACAGGTGTGCCAGGTGGGAGCGGCTGTCCCCGCGGGCGTGTGGCCCCCGCTGCAGAAGCAGGTCACGCAGGGCGGCTCCAAACACACCAGGCTTTCACATTCCACGGTCTCTGATCGTAGTCTGAATAAAGCCAACATCACGTTCAAATGAGGTGAAATGGAGGTTCGCCATGGTGGGGGTGCACGGGAGCCACAATGGAGGACGGGGCCCCTGCAGCAGAGACTGGGCGCAGCCACGGAGCCCCGCCCGCCCCTCCCCATGCCCCCCAGGCCTCAGCTGAGGGGAGCCCACCTCCTGACCCTGCACCGCACGCCCCTCCGGCTACGGGTGTCCCTGCAGACGTCTGGACACACAGCACAGGCTGGTATGGACTGAGTGTGTCCCAGGGCGTCCACACAGGAGGCCGCCCACATGTGCACATACATGCAGGACAGCACACGAACTTCCGTTCAGACGCCCGTCAGGTTCCAGGGAGACACGGGAGCCCGCCTCGCACTCACTCTCGTCTCCTGTTTCTTCCACTGGCACGTCACTTCCCACAGACACCACCGCGTCACCGCCTGCCCTTCCTGACCCCAGCCTCTCAGGCTCTGCAGCGACCCCGCATGGCCGCCTGTGGAGGTGGCACGCGTTCGGTACCCGCTCTGCAAGCCGCCCTGGGAGCACCGTCCCCACTCCCCAGCCGCCCTGGGAGCACGGCCCCCGGCTGGGAGTGTGGCCGAGGGGGAAAGGTGTGGGAAGACAAGCGGCACCGTCGAGCTGGGGACGCGCACCTTCACAACAGTCCTGCCACATGCGCAGGTCCACGCGGGGGATGTCGTCGCAGCTGCCGTAGCCGTGGGGGAACTCCGCCACCCTGAACACGTCCCTCTGCACACGCGTGATGTTGTCGGCATTGTCGCACAGGATCCGGGCCAGCGACGTCTGCTTGATCTGTGTCAGCTGCGCCGGGGAGAACACCCCCGGGTTCTCGTACCACAGCCTGTGTCCCCAGAGTGAGAGCAAGGTCAAACGCCTGAAGGCCCCAAGGAGGAGGCTGAGAAAGCCCCCGGGGGAGGGGGAGCTCGGCCGACGGCCCGGCACGCCGGGTTCGATCTGCTGTCGCTTCAGCAGGGGCTCAGATGCGGCTCATGCTTCCACTCCAGAAACCAGGCGGGAAGTCTGGACAGGAAGCGCAGCGGTGCGTAGACGCCCCGCGGCCGTGGCCCCTACCCCACTGTCCTGCGTGAAAGACGCTGATGACATCACATTGAACCTGAAACTTTGCAGTCATGACGAAGTTCAAATCCCTCCAAACGTGGGAACAGAGATGCCCGTTCACCTGTCCCCAGGGCACCTGCGTTCACCTGCCCGAGTCACCTGCGTTCACCTGCCCGAGTCACCTGCGTTCACCTGCCCGAGACACCTGTCCCTGCGTCACCTGCATTCACCTGTCCCTGCGTCACCTGCATTCACCTGTCCCTGGGGCACCTGTGTTCACCTGTCCCTGTGTCACCTGCGTTCGCCTATCCCTGCGTCACCTGCATTCGCCTATGCCTGTGTCACCTGCGTTCACCTGTCTGCGTCACCTGCGTTCACCTGTCCCCAGGGCACCTGTGTTCACCTGTCCCTGCATTACCTGCCTTCACCTGTCCCCTGTGGCACCTGCTTTTACCTGTCCCCATCTCGCAGGCGCTTGAACTGAGTGCTCAGCAGGCACATGAGGGTAGGTCCCAGTCGGCTGCCAGGGACCAAGTCTTCCACCATGAGTGCAGGAAATAAGTCGATGTTGAGTGGGGACCCATATAACCTGCAGGAGAAAAAAACACAAGTGAAATTTGCCTTCAATTTGCTTACGGATGCCGTAGCTAGTAAATACAACAAATGTGCAAAAGTCCCCACTTTTATCAATATTTAGAATCATTCAGACCTTCTGTTAGCAAAGAACGCTCATCTTCATTCACAGGATCCACCCGTTACACTGAACCCTTTCCCTACTTTCTGTTCACATACATACAAACGTGTATAATGCATGTCTCGCATTTATCGTAAGTCTAGAAAAGCCAAGAAATACAGAAAAAAATTAAAATCACATCTTTTCTGTTCAGAAATAATCGTACTTGATGGTATAATGTATAACTTTCCAGGCTTTTTCATAAATATAAGTAAACAAAATAACTAAAAATAGACTTTCAAAGGAATAATTTTAATGCTGGAATTCTACTATTATTGAAAATGCATTTGCAGTAAAGATGCCATTTGCTGGGGCGCCTGGGTGGCTCAGTCAGTTAAGCATCTGACTTCCGCTCAGGTCATAATCTCACGTTCGTTGGGTTCAAGTCCTGCATCAGGCTCTGTACTGACAGCTTGGATCCTGGAGCCTGTTTCAGATTCTGTGTGTGTGTGTCTCTCTCTCTGACCCTCCCCTGCTCACGCTGTCTCTCTCTCAAAAATGAATAAATATTACAAAATTTTTTTTAATTAAGCAAAAAAAGAAGCCGTTTTCTAAACAGAAATAGCAAACAAGATTAAGACAACAAAGTTTAAATGCTCAAGAACAAATGCTTTCGTCGAGCTCTTCCAACTGCGTAGAAAACATGAGTGCGCGGGCAGACAGCTAGCGGCCCCAAGTCCCCCATGCAGCTCTCCCAGACCCAGTGTTGCTTGGTCTCAGTCTGGACTCAAAGCTCAGCTACATTTTCTAAACCCACATCGTCCTGCTCAGAGGCACAGCCGGCTCGGCCCGGCCCACAGGGCTGCGGCCACAGAGTAAAGCGGGGTGCTGCTCAGACACCCTTGAGAAGGGTGGTGGGGTGCTCCGTCCAAGCCCCATGCCGCCGCGAGCACTGGTCTCAGAGGCAAACAGAGGAGCCTTGTGCTGTGGTTCCCGTGGGTAGGCGGGGTAGGGGAGGGGGCTGCGGGCAGGGGGGTGGGAGAGGGGGCTGCGGGCAGGGTGGAGGCGGCGGCTGTAGGCAGGGGGTGTGGGGGAGGGGGCTGCGGGCAGGGAGGTGGGGGACGGGGCTGTGGGCAGAGGGGTGGGGGAGGGGGCTGCGGGCAGGGGGGTGGGGGACGGGGCTGTGGGCAGAGGGGTGGGGGAGGGGGCTGCGGGCAGGGGGGTGGGGGAGGGGGCTGCGGGCAGGGGGGTGGAGGAGGGGGCTGTGGGCAGAGGGGGGAGCCCAGCCAGCACAGCTCGTACAACCTCGCTGCCGACCCGGCCTCTGCTTAAGGAACCTCTCCGCAGGAGGGGACAGGGCCCATGCCCTCTCGCTCACCAGGCGTGCACCCCTCCACCCGCCAGCGTGCTGGGGCGCCAGCACCTCCCGCTGTCCTGAAGGAAGTCTGGCGAAGGAGAGCAACACAGGAGGCGATCTCGATCCCCCAACAGGAGCAGAGCACGTAAGCAGCAGACCACGTGCGTCCCGGCGGAGCAGCCTCGTGACCCGCCACGTCCCCGTGCGCAGGGCTCACACAAACCAGCAGCCTGACACCGTCACTCAACGGACACCGGACGCGCTGCGCTCAGGACTACGGTCACGGCATCGCGTCCGGCACTCAACTACGCCTGGAAAGCCATCGTCCTGTGGAAGCCCGGGGGGGACCCTCGTTAGGGACGGCCTCACCCTCAGTGTGAAGTGAGTAAGTCAGAGTAAGCGACCTGGAGAGGCCAGAGGGCACGCAGAGCACGGCCTCGGAAAGGCTTCCTTTCCCGAGCCGTTCTTCCCAGCGCGAAGGAGCACAGCTTGAACGTAGTGACCTGCGGACGTACTTCCCGAGTCCAAGGACCAGGAGGGATCGTTATGGAAAAAGAACAGCGAGCGGATTATTTCCATTAAAGAAATGGGAATAAGTAACACAGGAAGTGGCCAGCAAGCAAAGGGCGGCCGTGATGGCGACAAGAGCGCGAGGCTCAGTGAGTGGAGAAATGCCGTCTAACGGGCCGCCCGACGGGGAGGGGGAGGGGCTGTGTCGGCAGGGACCAAGGCCCCAACCTCCCTGCTGGCTTGGTCTCGAGGAGCCCAGCGCACCCTCACAGTCCAGCACCACAGGCCCCGGCGCCTGCACCCCAGAAGCCCAAGGATCGCCCGAGGCTGTGGGTGGCGGTCCCCAGACACAGGCAGGTGTCCCTGCGCTGGCCGAGCTCTGGTGCACCCTGCCGGCCGCGAGCACGGAAGATCCCCGCCAAGCCCCACACACGCGCGCTGGGCCGCGAGGCTCCCCGCAGGCCCCTCCCCTCCTGCAGGGCCCCCACTGTGTGCGCGCGCACACGCACACACACTCACACACTCAAATGCCGAGAACAGCCCCACGCACTCAGGGCCGCCTTTCTCGGCGTGCCTGACCTTGACGCACCTAAGACACCAAATGGTGGCTTCCTGCAACTCACCGTCTCAGCTTCTCCCGGATCTCCGGGCTCTTGATCTCGTTCTTGAGGTCGTCGAAGGTGTGTGCGGACGACAGGTTGCAGTAGAGCCGGTACTCGTGGTAGGGTGGGATGCCGTGGTCCCGGCCCCGCTGGATGTTGATGGCGGCCAGGTCCAGGGCCACCGTGTGCGCCATGGAGAAGAGCCGCTCGGTGAGCTCCGTGTTCAGCAGCTGCGAGGGCACGCGCATCTTCCCCGCCACGCCGAACAGGCCCCTGAGCAGCGGGTCGATGCCACCCTCGTTCACGATGCGGAAGGGAGAGAAGAAGGCTTTGTGCAGGGGGATGTGTCCCTGCACGACGGGCTCGAAGTTCTCGTCCAGCCGGTAGAGCACAGGGTTGACGAGCGTGTGGCCGAACCGGAAGGCGGCCGTGGCGAAGGCGTTGAAGATGCCGGCGTTGACGCCCGGGTCGTAGCCGCGGTAGGCCCCCAGTGCCTTCGTGCCCACCTCGCCCAGCACCTTGGGCAGCCAGTGCTGGTAGGTGATGTGCTGCACCTGCGCGCCCACGATCTTCCTCGCCTCGTGGTAGATGGTGTCCCCGTCCCAGTGCGGGTTCAGGGCGAGCAGCTCGGCGGCCACGCGGTTGTGCTCCCGGAACCAGAGCGTGTGCATGCTGGTCAGGCCCAGCTGCTCGTTGGCGCGGTGGTCCCCGGCCAGGAAGCAGGGGATGGGGCTCTCGTTCTCGTCCCGCATGCACTCGGTGGGCGGCCCGGCGGCGAAGGGCAGCAGCGGCTTCCCCGACCGCTGCACGATGCCCTGCCGCAGGAGCCCCCGGTGGCTGGCCAGGTCCCGGATGGCGCGCGCCTCGTGCTCCGTGCTCCCGTACACGTTGGAGGCGTCAATGTAGGAGGTGAGCTGGTTGATCTGTTCCCGCGGGTACACGGAGTTCATGAGGAGGGACGTCATCCCGCTGCCGCACACGGGGCTGGAGCGCACGAAGAACATGCAGCGCGCCCCGTTCCTGACGCGGGGGTCGTTGGGGGGCACGGCCACCGAGAAGCAGGGCGGGTCGCTGCTGCATGCAGAGCTGCAGTGCTGCCCGTCGGAGAAGCGGGCCTGGCTCAGGGCCACCACCGTGGAGTCCAGGTCGTGGTCCAGGAACTGGCCCCACTGCATCAGCATGTGCGTGAACTGCTCGTCAGGCGTCACGGTCTCGGTCCCGATCAGGGTCGTGGACACCAGGCGGGGCATGGGCAGGGCGTGGCCGTGGTGCAGCCGGCTGGGGTCGACGCCGCGCGGGGTGTTGAAGCCGTTCTCGTACGCGGCCGTGAGCAGGCGCTCGAAGGCGGTCAGCGAGGCGCCCCACATGGGGTGCTGCAGGTTGTTGCACGTGCCGTCGTGCGTGCGGTACTTCTGGTGGAAGCACACGTCCGAGCAGTTGTTGACGCGCCGGTGCGCCGTGCAGCCTGACAGGTTGGCGATGAGGCTCAGGTACTGCGGGGACACGAGGTCGTTGTAGTGGTAACCTGCGCACAGGGGGACACGGCTCAGTCCCTGGACGGCGGACGACAGGCACGCAGCCCACTGCCTACAGGGGACAGGACCTTCAGTGCGGGCAGGTGCGGGTGTGGTGGGGGGACAGCCCAGGGTCCACTCAGCACCGGGGAAGGGGTCCCGGCAGGAACAGCCTGGAAAGACGTGACGCCTGCCCACACTACTAGGCGCCGGGGCACCACTGCTTACTTCCACGGTACCTGCTTGCATCCGGTCAAGGCCGACTCTGCCTACGTTTACAGGATCCGAGCCACCCGCCCACGGGGAACAGAGCTGGAGCGGGGCAGGGCCGCAGGCCGCCGCACGAGAGGACGGGCACACTGGGCTGCGAGCGGGCAGGGCGCTCGGCTCACTCAGACCTGCACACTCCGTCCGCTGGCACCTTGCAGACACGGGGGAAGTGGGCCTGGGAAGTCTACCTCGGGGAGCCCCGGGACCCCCCAGGGGTCAGGGCTGGCACCCCACACCCCACACTGCCCCCCTCCTCTGGCCTGCTCTCCAGCTGGGGGGACCGGCACAGCCCAGGCGAGCGAGGTCGCAGGCCAGCAGCCGGGGCTGGACACAGACAGGCTGCCTCTGTGAATGCAGACGCCTGTGCTGTGCTCCGAGCACCCCCAGCACCGCTGGTAAGATGTTGCCAGAGCAAACCTTCCCGCTAACCCGCGGGCCGACCGCCGCGCCGCCTGTGAGCTCCTGATAATGAGCTGTTCGCCAGGGGCCTTGCACACTGCCCTGACCACTTCCAGCCACGCTCGCTCACTCCGCTTCGCTTTAGAAATAAGAACCATCCCTGAATGCAGACAAGCAACGATGGAAAATACTGACGTGCAAGGAACAGAAGACACCTGAGAATAAGGGAACAGACTGGACTGTCAGACGCGGTACGGGAGGGACCGTCCGCGGAAGACTCAGTTTCCCTCCGCGCTGAGTTAGGACACAGGTGCCCCTGCAGACCGGCGTCCCCCAAGTGTGCCTGCGAGCTGCTGGGGAGACAGTCCCTCCCCACCCTAACTTGGCCTCCGCCAACTTCCCCCCTTCACCAGCTTCGCCTCTGGCCTTCCAGCCCCTGGGCAGAGACCCAATCACCTGACTGCTCTACAGGCCCAAGTCACGGTCACCTCTGCCTTCACACACGTCTGGAACCCACCCCGCCCACCGGCCACCCTGCTGCCAATGCTTCAACGCCCCACGGGGCCACATCATGGACGCCCAGCACCTGGACCCCCTGGGCCACCCCACGGACACCTGCCCAACTTCCCACACTGCCCCTCCCCCTTCACATCAGGGCCGCCTGACGACCTGGTCACTTCTGTACAAGAAGCACCATGGCTCCCACGTCACGCCGACCATGACGAACCGTCCCCCCCTCAGGGGCGCTTTCTGGCCGAGACTTCCCTCATCCTGTCCCCTCCGCCATCTCCCCACCTGCTCCTGCAGCCGGCCCCCTCGGGCACCCCGCTGGGGTGGGCCTCGCGCCCCGGGGCCCGGGTGCTGAGTGATTTACGTTCCCTGCCCCTCCGTCCGCCCAGGCCTCCGCGTTTTCTGTGAACAGCACGTGCTGACGGCAGGTGGCCTCGCAGCCCCGCAGGAGCGGCAACAGCAGACGGGCTCCGCCCGGTGCGGACGCCACGTGGCGCTCAGGACCTGTCTGCGGGGCTGCCACAGCCACGTTCAGCTCGTGAATGATGAGCCAAAGACAAGGAGGGGGAAGACCAGGCCACCCCACGGGCCGCCACAGGGGCAGAGCGTGCTCCTTCACTGCAGATGGCTGGGGACACCGGGAGGCACCACAGTGACAAGGCCACGGACCCCACTCGTCCCTGTCCACTGAAAACAAGGCCACGGGTCCCAGGCTTCAGGGTCCATGGGAACAAGGGCCAAGTATCCCTGTCCCCATCCTGGGTCCGAAGGGTGGAAAAGTGCTCAACACAGGCTCCCCAGGGAGGGCGTGCAAGGTGACATGGCCGCTGATGCCCCACCGAGGCCAGCGCCCCCGGGACAAGGAAAGAGGCCCACGGTCTGCACACCCGCACCAGGAAGCTCGGCCTCAAGCCAGCGCAAGACGGCAGTCAGGCTTGAAGGACGCACTCCGCTCCCAAGGACAGGGGCCCCACTCCCTATCTCCGAGCCACGTGTTCGTGTATAAGAATGCTACGTTCTTGAACATTCCTGTCCTGATGGGAAAGACCGGCTCTCTGAAGACAAGTCCGAAAACCCTGAAAACCTGGAGCCTGCCTTCCAGTGAGGGGACTGTGCGGAAAGGATGCTTTTCCACAATAACCACGGCCACCGGCACCTCTCAGTGCTGCTCCTCTCACTGCGTGCCGGGGGCCGCTCTGCACACACCCTCCCCGACTGCCCAAAGCGCCGTGGCCCATGCGCACAGCCACGCCCTCCCCCGTGCCCTGTTTGTCTCAGGGCCCACTTGTCTCGGCCAGCGGCCAGCTACGTGCAGCGTCCAGGACACCTGAGAGGTCGCTGCGGGACCCAGCTGGGCAGCCACGTCCGCACGTGGACATGGGGATGTGGGCACGGTGCCCACGCCTGGCCCTCGGGAGACGAAGCCCCAGCACTGACTTGTGCCGTTCAGGTCGACCATCAGCCCGTGGCGCACGTGCTCCTGAATCAGCTGCAGCGTCCGCTCGAAGATCTCCCCCGCACGTGCCTGCTCCACAGTGTAGGGGTCCCTCGGGTACCGGAACAAGGCCAGCAGGTCATTTGGAGAACGGGGACGGCTGGGGGGCAGAAACAGACAGGAAATGATCAAGCCCTTGAGATCCAAAGGAGTAATTATCGCCGTTGAATATTTGTGAAACTACTTCTCTAGGCGTGAGGGACCATACCTTACTCGTCCCAAGTGGAAAGCATCAAACACAAACCAAAGAAGCTAAAAGCAAAGTAGTACATCAGTAGAGAAAACACATTTAGTTGCGATGCAGGAAAACACCCTTTTGGAACTGCCCATGTGAGCAGGTACAACACGCCCGAGAGAGGACTTGTTTTGGCTGAACCGGTCGGTGGCAGCCGAGGGAGTGATGGGGGATGTTCTGAAAACATCCTGTAACACAGCTCAGCTACCACTCAGGCACAACGTCTGTTATCTGAACCCCCAAAACCCGATGCCGGTGTGGATTGTAACTTTTAAATTAAAAAGGTTTTCTTCAGACAAAACAGGTCATAGCTTCGAGTCCTGACCTGCGTGCGTCCCCCCCAGAGGCCGACCGAACGGTGGTCCAAACCCGCTTCCAGCCCCCGTACCTGTCGAACAGGTGAGTCCGGGTGGAGTTTATGGCTCTGTCCACAGTCGCAATTGCTTCGACAATCGATTTGGCCACGAATGGGTCCCCGTTTCGGCTGACGTCAGGAACTAGGAAAACACAAAGTTGTTTGTTACCCAAAAACTGCCCAAGTTACTCGGGCCACCGGGCCTGGACACAACATCATTTAGACGAGAGGCCTGCTTCCCTCCAAGTGTTCTATTTTCCACATGCAAGTTAAATCACACTAGAAGCTATTTTCAAGCTGTATATAAAATACAGACCTTAATTTCTGAAGTCCCTGACTGGACAGGGACAGAGAAAGTAGTTACAGTATGAAGCAGCCAAACTCCTGCAGCGACGCGGGCCGCGCGGGAGGCGTGGCTCTGGCCGGATGTCATTCCCGAGGGGACTCCGTCCTCCCGCCGGTGGCCAAATCCTCCACAGGCGCCCGCACCTCCGGCCGCTCTCCCCTCAGAGACTGCTCCCTCCGTTTCCTGTCCCCACTGGGCTGCTCATGTCACTGCCCGAGCACATCGTTCCCACACGCGCACACGGGCGCCCACGGCTTGTGCAGGCCTCGGAGGCTGTGCCTTCCTTTCTCCTTCCCTCTTCTCCCTTCCTCTCACTTTATACCAGAGTTTGCTAAAAAAATAACCCTGAACTACCCAATCTTCTACCCCTATCCGCTGACACAGCTGGAAAACAGACCACTGAGCGCTAAGTGGCGATTGTGGACAGCTCAGAGCCTGGAGCCCGTTTCAGATTCCCTATCTCCCTCTCTCTCTGACTTTCCCCTGCTCACGCTGTCTCTCTCTCAGAAATAAATAAAACATTAAAAAATAATAATAAACTTTTAAATAAGATGCCCTTTAAAAAAAATTTAAGTCTATTTATTTGAGAGAGACTGAGGAAGCACACGGTGGGAAGAGGCAGAGTGGGGGGAGGGGCGGAGGGCATCCCTCCCAGCAGACAGCACTGTCAGCACAGCCGCCTCGGGGCTGGACCACACGATTCTGGGGTCACGACCTGAGCCGAAATCAAGTCAGACGCCCCACCGACTGAGCCACGCAGGAGCCCTTGTGGTTCACAGTCACTAAGTGGCTTTAGGCTTACGGCACGGGGGACAGTGGGGGCACAAACCGACCAGGCCCCGCTGCTCCCCGTGGGCGCCCCCGAGCCCGTGGAGAAGGTGGGCGGGGTGCACTGTGGCAGGAAAGGCCCACACACAGCGCCAAGCGGAGGGTGGTGGCCGCTCAGGGCTGCGCAGGGGAAGCCAGACGGGGTGTACGGGAGACGCGGGTCTGGGTCCAGCCCTGAGAACGTCTGCCCTGGAGCCACAGCACACAAGGCCACGTTAGTGACACGTCACGGGGTGTGAACCGTCAGGAGGATGGCGGCAGCATGTGGACAGCAGAGGTGAGTGAGACAGGCGAAGGGCAGACACAGGTCGGCTCAGCGTGGCCCAGGGCCCGGGGAAGGAACGCTCGGTGAGACAGACACTCCTCCGGGGCAGACGCGTGGCCCCATCCAGAAGCGGCGCGAGCACAGTGCAGGCGCCTCCCCCTGCCGAATGGGACTGCACGTCACACGCTCAGACCTGAATGGGTTTGGATGACGGCCACACAAGCCTCCCAGCCCCGATCGAGAAGAGCCCACGGGGCGCGTGGCAGTGGTCGCGGCTGTGGGGCGGCCACCAGCGTGTGCGAGGCCAGGCAGGCGGCTCTCGTCGGGTCCCGGCAACCCCCGCCCCTCAGCTGGGGACCTGTCATCCTTCCGATAACGCTGAAAACTCGCAGACTGCAGTGCGCGGGCCGGGCGCCCTCCCGCCGTGGGGACACGCGCCGGGTGGACTCACCACTCACGCTGAGCACCATGCTGACGGAGGCCTGCCCGATGGTGTTCCGGGCCACGCACTCGTAGCGGCCTGCGTCCGCGGTCCCCACGTCGTGGATGGTCAGGAACCCCTCGGGGCTGATATGAAACTTCCCGCTTTCCGTCACCTGAACCCCATCCTGGAGCAAAGCAGAACAGAAGCAACATTAAGATCACGAAGCAGGAGTTGTTTTACTTGAGGGACGAAAACGGCCTGTCAGGACCCCTCGAGTGGACAGGCCACGTGGACCGTGGTCACGTCTATCCAAAGCTGGAAAGAGAAGGAGGTTTAATCCAATTCAGTGAGAGTTTTCCCAAACTCTTGCAAAGGACCCAGAGAAGATGAAGACACAGATGAGTTCCGTGGAGTCCCCGGGATTGGGGGCTGGGGGCCCACAAAAGGAAGCCCCTGCGGGGTGTGCACGACGGTAGGGAAGGCACAGAGCTGGGGCACCTACCGAAGGAGAGGGACATGTCCCATCCAGCCCTCTTTTATAACAGCTAAACGTGGAAATGCACTTTCGTATCAGGCTTAATAAAAACAACACAGAAGAATGAACTAAGGTCAAAATCTGTGTGGATTTTGGCGCCGTGGATCTAAGCAGAAGGTCAAGAGGAGGCAGAATTTGTGGGCTGTGGGTCTGCCTCGTTTGGGTTCTGTTAATCTGCTGACTCCAGCCCAGCTCAGAGGTTCCCTCCAGAGAGGAAGCCGGCTGTGGCGGCTGCCCTGCCCTCCCCTCCCACCCCCACCCTCCCGCCTCCCTCCCCCGCCTGTGGCAGGCGCTACCTTGTTCCAGGTGACGACGGGCTCGGGCTCCCCCTGGGCGCTGCAGGGCAGCTGCACGCTGGTGCCCACCTCCACCGTCCTGTCACTGGGAGTGCTGGCAAACACCGGGGTGACTGCAAAGCAGGGACGGCCAGCTGACAATGGTGGGGACCCCAAGGCGCCTGTCGTCTATACCAAAAGGCTTCAAAGGAGCACAGCCCCTTGTGCTCAGCCAGGCCAGGCCCAGGGCACCCTTGGCCGGTGTCAGGCTGTCACTCTGCCCCTAGCCTGGTCTGCAGAGAGCAAAAGGGCCAGAGGCAAGGGGAGATGGTCTGCCCACTGCCCGTGCTGCACCGGAGGGGCACGGGTGAAGAACAGACCACAGCCCTAACCAGCTCCTGTCTGCGCGGGGGTGGGGGACGGTGACGCTGTGGGCCTCGGAGAGAGCCTGCTGGTTAGGACGGGAAACCCACACTTAGAGAAGAGTATTTCTCACCGGGAAGCTGAAGGGCCTGGCCCACAGCCACACAGGAAGTCCGGGTGCCCCTCAGGGACCACCCACAGGGTCCCACGCAACCCTTCACCCCACGTTCTGCCCGTCAGGAATGGGAAGGGCGAGCCCCACCCCTGAGCAGTGCAGCCTGTCTGGTAACAGGAGGACAGCCCAGACCCCAAACCATCAGGGAAGGACCCCCGAGGCTGGGGATTCGCCTTGGGCGCCTCTCACGGAGAGAACGGTCAGACCAGGCGCCCAGGAAGGACAAAAGGAAGATGTGAGCGAAGGCTCACAGGACATTCGGGCAAGAGACGGAATCTCGGAGGTTGTCAGGGTCCGTCTACGGGCAGGGAGCTATCAGACCCGCACACAGTGGCCACCCCGGAAAGGACGTGAGAGCCATACTCCCGTGAGGTGGGGGGATCAGCTGGGAGAGCGCGGACAGGCCGGCGCCGCAGGTTCCATCCGAGGAGCCCCACGGGCAGGACGCGCACCTTGAACCTTGCACCCGCACGGGGGACGGGGGTCAGAGGAAGAGGACGCGCTCGGCTGGAGCCCCGGCTGCCAAAGCCTCTCCGGACGGCGCGTCCGCACAGGCCTGGGGGCGGCCAGGAGGGAACGGCGGCCGTACCTCTGGGCTGCACCGTCAGGTGGGCCACGGCCCTCTGGGAGCCGATGATGTTGACAGCCTGGCACTCGTACTGGCCCTGGTCATGGAGCGCCACGCCCGAGATCCTGAGCGTTCCCGAGGAGAGGACGAGGTGTCTCCTGTCCACGGACAGCTGGCTCCCTGAAAGGCACGGGACATGCAGGTGGTGGGAGGGGCCAGTGACAGGATGCTGAAAATTGGGACGGCAGAATGTTCTCAGAGAGAACGAGAAGCAGGCCCGCGGTCAGCACCTCCTGAGCGACGTCCCAGCGCATGCTGCGTGCAGCTGGTCAGGGACCGAGAGCTGGCGTGCCCCCCGAGAAGCTGCCCAGAAGCAGGGAGGGGCAGATAGCGGGGACTTGGCCTAATACACAGGAGCCAGGACACGGGGGGCTTGCGTGATATCGACCCAGGACGGGCCACTGGGGAGGCACCGGGGCCAGAGTTACTCAGAAGTGCAGGGCACCCCAGGTGAGGAGGCCCGTGCCCCTGGAGGAGCCCCTCCTGCCGGGAACAGAGAGGGGCAGGTGTTAACCGCGCCCACACTGGCCGCCCAGGTGCTCCTGGTGCCGCTGGTATAACAGCCCCTCAGGGGATGAAGGGGTGGAGATGCCCTCTGGTTCAAGGCAAGTTCTCAAGGTCAATCCCTGAGCGGAGCCCAGAGGCTACCTCCCCTCTCCCAACCTCTCAGCAGGGCAGCCTGCGCCCTGGGAGAAGTTTGTGTCTGGCCAGCAGTTCACCAGCCGCAGCAGGAGGGGGCTGGCCCCCAGGGAATCCATGTGACAGATGGGTGGAGATTAACTATGACTGAACATCAGGGGAAGAGAAGGCATAACAGCCCCAGGAAAGGAGCGAGCTTCCAACAAACGTGCTACAGCCAGTTTCCAGAAAGTTCTATCCTACATGCTGTTAGATTTCCTCCAGATGCTAATTTAGTATAGATCAAAGGCAAGACACGGGGACTACTTGGGAGGAGCAGGGAAGCAGAAGCCTCCCCAGCGCCCTCACGAATGACAGTCCCCTCTGTGTCCTGCGAGGTAGCTGCGGGTGAGGCCGAGGCCAGGACACCCACACGATGACCATCCCCACACCTGGGCTCGGGCCACGCAGGGGCTCTGGGGCTCGCCTGGAAAGGGCACACAGACCTGCCGGGCCGGCTCTCACCTCCTTTGGTCCAGGCGATGACCGGCTGCGGGTAGCCCTTGGCCTCACACTGGAAATCGACCGTCTGACCCTCGATAACAGCTCTGTCTGCAGGGGTCACAGTGAACTGGGGAAGAGCTTCCGGGTGGAAAACCATGGTAGACATTTCAGAGACGGATTTGGGTAAAACCACTGGAAGTAGCTATACTCCCTCCCCTTGGGCGCCACTGCACCAAGCCGCCGGATGCATCGCAGGGGGACACTGGAGAGGGGACAAGGGGACCCCAGAGACGGGAGAGCATGAAAGCAGAAGGGCCTCGAACACTGGAACCTCCCAGTGCCCCTCGGACACCTCTGCTGACTCAGCACCACCGCACACGCAGGGCACGGACGGAGAAGCTAATGGGGGGGGGGGAGGGGGCTATCGCTGTGCAAGGTCTGCTCATACTTGGAAGTGGCTAAGCGTCGCCTGGCACAGCTGTACATGGGGACAGGAGCTGCATCACTGCTGGGGGGTGAAAATCACCCAGCCCTAAACCCAGAACAGCTCCACGTGTACAAAAGTAACGACCAGGCGACAGCACCGTGCAGTTACAGGGGCAGAGGCAGCAGCACGGGCCCACGACAGTCGGCCAGGGTGGGGGCTCCGTGGAGGCGGGCGGCTGGGGAGGACAGACAGGTAAGCAGGGAAAGGGCTGACTTCTCCGCATTCTGCACTTTCCTGTCTTAGAGCATCGTCACAAATGCCTCCCTGTGTAATTTACTAACAAACCAACAAACTCACTGAGAGTCGGTTAGGACCTTAGGAAACACACAGGTGAGGTCTTAAAACTATAGGTACCGCCAGCACCTGGAGGCAAAAGCGGGTCCTGGGAAGTTCCGAGGGGAATGCAAGGCTTACTGATGGATTTAACACACCGGGCACGTCCATTCGTGTGTTCACCTTACACACTCCAGGTGCCCTACGTGCCACGATAACATGCCAGAGACAAGGCCCCTGGAGAAATAAACCCTTCTAAAGCCTCTATCCAGAAAGCACACCGACCCCAAGTCAGAAGTCAGATGCGGGAAGTGTGCTTGGGGTGGGGAGAGGGTCTGCACGCGCGCACCGAGGGGCCCCGACCCACCCTGGACGATGATCAGAGCCGTGGCCTGGATGCTGTCCAGGCTGTTGGATGCGAAGCACGTGTACTCCCCACTGTCGTCCTGCTGGACGTTCTGAATGTACAGGCCACCAGAGGGGGTGATGCTCACGCGAGGGTCCTCAGGCAGGGGCGTGCGGTCCCCTTTGGTCCAGGTGATCCGTGGCGGAGGGTGGCCTGTGGCGCTGCACTCCAGGGTCACACTCTCCCCGACCAGCACCTCCGTGTTCTGTGGCTGGATTACAAAAGCAGGTCGAGCTGTCACAAGGAAACACAAGTTCTGGATTAATTCCCTCCGGCCCGGCAACGGCACTGTGCTTGCACTTTTCCATCTGCGGGCTCCTCGCTCCGTCTATTCACCTTGAAATAAACAAAGCAAACACAGTTTAATCGGCAACCTCTCTCGTCTTCTTCCCCTTTTAAAGAACACGCAGCCAACAGGGGTGTGCGCTGCCTCAGGGGAGGGCCGTCAGTGCCCGACAGACGGCTGACGGCCCGGCTGGGGTGCTCCCTCTTTCAGTGGGACAGAGTCCCAGGGAGGACCCTCACTTCTGTTGATTCTAAATACACTGGGTCGGTCCCGTCAAATCTTGCACACAAAACACGGTTTTTAAACTGTATTCAGAACAAATAAAAATAACCTGTGCAAAAAGAAAATACAAACTATCTGAGAGAGTGCGTCCCAGCTCTGAATCCAGAAGCCCACGCCCTGAGTGATGCGCTTTGTGAGGGCCTCTGTGCAGCTCTGGAGCTCACACACCAGCGGCAGAGACGGATGCGGCCACACACGTCAAAACTGAGAAGTCAGACACCCTGTCACCCAGAAATCACTTTCCTAGGAGTTAACAAGTATGTAAAACAATGTATGTACCCCAAAAGGGTGCTTTTTAAATTCCTGTGATGTATATTCAGGGCAACACCTTTCTCCCCAGTTCTAGAATCCAAATGAGTTCCAAACACAAAACATTTTTCATAACTTATTTGTAAAATTTAACCTGGCATGAAGTGCTTACAGTCTTCATTACTCCTCGTCGTGTGAATATTCACGCAGCTCATTGTGGGACACGGACACGCGGGCTACAGGGCGGCACCAGAGACCCTATGAGCCAGTTAAACAGATTATGCCGCAGGTGGCCTAGCTGAAATTCCCCCAATTTCTGATTTCCAGATGACATCAGGCCCAAGGGGTTTTGGATAAATGGATTTGGACCTATAGTAGCAAAAGACTTGGGGGAAAACCTCAGATGCTCCAAAAGAACCAGTTAAATAGATCACGTTGCTACCAAGTAATGAAAGCCGCACAGCTTTGGAACGGAAAGAATAAGAGAAACCATCATGTTCTGAAATGAAAAACAAGCACGGAAGGATGAAGAAGCTAATCGGGGAGAGCGGGGATGGAGGCAGGCATTTAGGGGATGAGGAGAGAAATGCAGAAGGAATGTTTTTGCGCCTTTCACACTAGCTAATGTTTAAAATGTACTAACCACATATCTAAAGAAGAACAGATAATCAAAGATACAGAAACGATCCTAATATTAGCATTTCTGGAGGCTGGCAAGCTGGAGACCCCAAGGCCATGTGCAAGGACAAGAACCCCAAAGTCAAAGCCCGCCCAGGGGCATGTGTGCAAGCTGTCACTTTAGAAGTGGCTGTTCAGAGCCTGTGTGAGGAACAAAGACAAAGGGAGGGCAGCGCTAGGTGCGACTGTGCACCCAGTGGGGCGACAGAGCCGACGTCAACAGACTGTGGAAATAAATATCCCCTCGAGATTTATTAACCCAAAGCTGGTTCTCCTAAGGGGCTGCCGCCTGACTCTGGTTCCAAGTAAGAAAGAAAGGAGGAGATTCAGAAGTGCTAAGTATACTACGGCCACACACATCCCCAGCACAAAGAGTTTCATGCACCGGAAAATCAAAACGCAGCCTATTTTGGAGACATAAGTAGACGGTGACTATTTACTCTGGTAACTTAAGGACACGTTTAAATTATCCTAGGGAACCAGTGACATCAAGGAGCCACGCTGTGGCTTCCACACTGGAAGCAGGAAATAGAAGATGGACAATTACTCTAAAATGAGGCACAAAACAAAAAAGACTAGATAAATAGTCCCAAGTAAGATGCAAATCTTATACATCTAAACGCATTGCTCATGACAATAAACACAAATGGACTCACTTTAAGAAAACATCAGTCTGAATTTCTTCTTAAAAACCAGAGCAAACGTCAAGGATCACCTAGGACCACGTGCTCAAAAAGCTCCCGGTGGGGAAATTTCACTGTGCACTAGCACCGGCGCCTTGCCCACTTCCGGCCCTGTCAACATCCTGCCCACTTCGGCCCGCATCCCGCCCATATCGGGCCCAAATCGGCCCACTTCCGGCCCACGCCCTGCCCACTTCCTTCCCGCACCCTGCCCATTTCCGACCCACACCCAGCCCATTTTGAAACCACTGCCCGCCCGCATTCTGCCCACTTCCTGCCTGTGCCCTTCCCACTTCCGGTCCGCATCCGCCCACTTCCGGCCCACGCCCGGCCCACTTCCGGCCCACGCCCTGCCCGCGGCCCACCCTCGCCCTGCCCGGCTGGGTAAAGGGAAGGAGCCTGTGCACCACAAGAGGGGGAAGCTCTGGACGGAAGCCTCCTGTGTCGTCCTCTCCACGTACCTGGAGACCCAAAGTACCTGAGGGTGACTTCCTGTGTTTTCACCTGCCCCGCCGCGTTTTTCGCCATGCACTGGTAGATGCCCTGGTCCGTCTCCTGCGTGTTTTGGATCATCAGGGTCCCGTCGTCGAGCAGGTTGAGGCGGGAATCTGCCTTCATGCTCAGCTCGTTGCTGCAAAGACGGACGCCCGGCACGCTCGGCCTCGGGGGGCCCCGGAGGCACCCAGGCCCGCCGCGAGACACCCGAGCGCGTGGGGGCGCGGGCACGGCACCCCTGGCCCCTCCGGACGCTTCTCCCCGCACGGCCTCCCAGGCACTGCCGTTCCTCTGACAAGTGCGACCCCGTGGTCACTAACTCCTGTTTACTTCCAGTGTTCGGTTTCCGTCTATAAAGATTTTAAAGTTTGGGCGCCTGGGCGGTGTGGTCGCATAGGCCTCGGACGCTTGGTTTTTGGCTCAGGTGATGATCTCACAGTGTGTGGGATGGAGGCTCTAGTCAGACTCTGCTGACAGCATGGTGCCCGCTTGGGATTCTTTCTCCTCTCTGCTCCTCCCCAACACTCTTTCTCTCTCTCCCTCTCTCAAATAAGTAACTAAAAACAAGAATGATTTTGTTTTATTTTTTTAAATGTTTTATTTATTTCTAAGAGAGAGAGAGACAACGTGAGCAGGGGAGGGTCCGAGAGAGAGGGAGTCACAGACTCTGAAACAGGCTCCAGGCTCTGAGCTGCCAGCACAGAGCCTGACGGGGGGTTCAAACCCACGAGCGGTGAGATCATGACCTGAGCCGAAGTCGGACGGTTAACCGACTGAGCCACCCAGGCGCCCCGAGATTTTAAAGTTTTAAGGAGATCCTCTTGGAAACAATGAAAATAGTGGGAAAAATTCAAAGGAAACATTTTCCTTGGTTTCTGGCAAATTCATTCCAAATAATGGGGCAGAACTATTTGCTGTTATTAAAGCAAACGATTATATACGCCGACCACGAAAACCATCAGTGCTGAGAGCATTTCCCTCTGGACACCACTCAGAAACCTACAGGCTCTCGGGCTGAAGACCCGGCCAGGTGTGATTGCCCCCCCCGACCCGCTCACACACCCTCCGCCTGCACCAGCCGGCCGAAAGCCACAGTCATCCCAGGTTCCAAACTTAGGGAGGACTCTTACTGATCTGGCCCAACTCCCTTCCGTAAACACTGAGCCAGCAGGTTAGGAGGGCAGGCCCACAGCGGAGGCTGGCCGGCAGGGGACACTGACCAGCAGGGGCGGCAGACCCACAGGTGAGGCTGGCAGTGGAGGGACGCCTCAGGCCTGGGGTTTCTGGGCTCTCCTTCTGCCATGAATGCCTAGGACGTTTATTGTAACTTCTGGTGTCAGTGTATTTATTTATGAAGGTAAAAGTGAAAAGCTCAGCCGAATCTATGCTCTTCTGCCTTTCAAATACTCCCTTGTCCTCCTGCGTAACTCAGGATCTTAAATCTCGACAACTCCAGAGCCGTCCTCTCTGAGGACGAGGCTGGCGGAGCTCAGGTCCGCACGGCGCTGGGCCCGGGTCAGAAGGACAAACCCAGGGGTAGACCAGGCTCCCAAACTTCACAGGCAAGAAGTGCCGCCCCTCCTGCACCTGACGACTGTCAGACGCCAAGCCCCCCGCCCCCTGCTCATCTTCTCTGCGGACACGGCTGGGCTCAGGACCTGCACTGCCTCGGCGGGCGTCTGGGCTCGGCCCCCAGAGTGCCCTCCGCGCCCGCGACGACTGAACGGCCAGCGAGCTGAGTGTAAACGCCACAGCCGAGATCCGCAGGGAAGCCCGAGCCCTCAGAAGCAAGGACGGGGTCTCACGCTAACAATTCGTCCTCACTCGGTTTACTACACACGTTCCAAAGTGTTCCACATTGACACGAAACCCCGGGAACAACCTCGCCCGACCCCTGTGGCCCCCACACACCAAAGTGCTTGTGGATGGAAGGGGCACCCTTGTTTCCCGAGGCCAACAGACGTGCAAGTACCCAAGTGCTCACTGGACGCGTGACCTGAAGACACTGCCCCCGGCAGGAAGGAGCCCTCCTCAGCCAGGAGGCCCCAGTGACCACAGCCCCGTTTCCACACACAGAACGTGGTGGGGGGGGACCACACCTCCCTCCTGCTCCCCCGCCCCGGGCAGGGGGAGTAATGGGCTGCCCCTTTCAGCAGAGAAGATGCAGGAATGTTCTCCTTTACACTTTTTCCTCCACCGAAGAGGCAGAGAATGGCGGGGGAGCGGGGGGCGGAGGGGGGAGCACCGGGTGGTGAGGGGGGAGCACATGCCCGGTGGGGCAAACGGGGTGTCTGGGAGAACAGTGAGCATCACTCACTTGTTTCGCAACCAGATGATCTCGGGTTTGGGGTTGCCTTCCGCTCTGCACGTGAAGAACACAGTGTTCCCTGAGGTGACGTCCGCATCCTGGGGCTCTGACGTGATCCGGGGCCTTTCTGTGCCAACAAGGAAACGGAGACCTTCTGGGTCTTAAACAGTCCCATTAAGGTAAACAAGACCCCAAACCAAATCTCTCGCGTTCAAGAGAAAATCCCAAGTGTTCAAACATCCATCCTGCCCACAAGTGTCCCCATAAAGATGACAGACAGGCTTCTCCGCAGAGACAGGCCGAGTCTTTGCCCAGCGCTTCCGGCCCTCAGATCTGCCCCGAAGAGCCTGGGTGACGGCCAGCACCCGGCAAGGTCGGCTCGCCCTTCACTCGGGCCAGCACCTATGCACACGGCACACTCCCGGAACAGCTGCTTTTGGTAAATAAAACAGTAGAAAATAAAGCTTTTTAGCTAAAGGGTTCCTGGGAGCACAAAGCTCTAGCGTTTCCCCCACGCGTGCGTCCCGCTCCCACGGCCCCGGGGCCGACGACCTGCCACCTCCAATCTGCTAACGGGAGACTGCTCCCCGTCCCCCTCCGCAACCACAGTGGCAGGAGGCAGGCAGAAAACCCGTGGCGCTCAAGCCGGGGCCCGTTGGTTAAGTCAGAGCCGGCTGGGGAGCAGGGGAGGGAGCCGATGCCAGAGGAGGAGGAGGAGGCACCCAGGGCAGCTCGGGGATGTCAACTGTGTGACACACACACACACACACACACACACATATAGGTGTCAGGGGTCAGCAGGCACTCTCAGCTGCGGCCTCTGGCCTTTGTCCCAGGAAAGTCTCCTGTATGAGGCACACAGCCCGGTGCTGCTGCCTGCGTGCGGCGTGGCTCCCACCAGAGGACGGCTGCACAGGACGCGCACATGGACCCGGCCTCTGACCCTGCACGCCATCGAGGCCGGGCAGGTGCACACACAGGTGCACACATGTAGGAGGGACAGTTAACAAAGGAGTGCAGACGCTGGCCAGTTACTCACGAAAGCTACTGATTTCTAGTTTTGTTACATATATTTTCAGTACTTAAAACACGATGATGCTTTAGAGAAACTGACTTTAGCATCCCAAAACAGTGCTGCAATTAAAAGAAAAGACTCAGGGGCACCTGGGTGGCTCAGTGCTGACAGCTCAGAGCCTGGAGCCTGCTTCAGATTCTGCTTCTCCCACTCTCTCTGACCCTCCCCTGCTCATGCTCTGTCTCTCTCTGTCTCAAAAATAAATAAACATTAAAAAAAGAAAAAAGCAAAGAAAAGACTCAGCTGCATGAGTCCTTGGGCACTGAAGGAGGACTCTGCCTTGCCGTCGGAGTTTGGCCCTTCCGGTGATGTTTCTTGGGGCCGTGGCCAGAGGCCCAGCCCAGTGCACTGCAGGGACCACGTGCCACCACCCATACCAGGGGCACATGGCCACCAGCCTGCCTCGAAAGCAGCACCCAGCAGATGCAGCCCGTGCGCACAGGGGCTGGAGGGGCGGGGAGGCAGGGGTAGTGTCAGCCAGTTTGCTAATTTTGCAGGAGAGCCTGCAAATAGAAGCCAAGAAACCCAACCGTTGCTGACATGCGGCATGTGCAGACCAGGGCAGACCACGATCTGACGCGAGAACTCTACCCCTGCAGGCGGGCGGGGCTGGGCGTACCGCACCCTTGGGGTGCCAGCACTGGGCTCTGGGCCCCTGCACCCCGGGGATGCGCTCACCACAGTCCAGCTCTTCAGGGGTGATTGTCGCCACCGAGCGCCCCTGGATGCGCCGCGGGTATTCGCAGGTGGCAGCCGCCTGCGCGTTGCCGGACTTGGCGTAGGTTTTCAGCAGGTCCGCCAGCCACAGGATTTCACAGTCACAGTGCAGCGCATTGGAGTCCAGCCGCCTGGGACAGGGAAGACGGTGAGACGCGGGGACAAACCCACTCCAGACGGGTCCTGACCCGCGAGCCCGTGTGGGGCCTGCTGGGTACGGGACGGCAAGGAGTGTCCCGGTCGTCGCCAGGCCGCCATCAGGGGACCCCACCTGCCCCCCCATCCAGGGCAACCTCTCTGCTGCCCCGTCATCTCTCAAACACGGAGGTGCCCCTCCCACCTTCCCCAGAGCGCACTCTTGGTTTGGTGGACCATTTCTGTATCCAGAAGGAATCCTAAATGGCGAAGGAAGCTGTCTTATTCCGTCTTATTTCGTTCTGGACCTGGGCTTGTTAACGATTTTCCCCTTTTCCCGACATCTAGCTCCTTACGCTTGGGGATGGCCAGCTGCGGAGCAGCGGCCCTCGCGACCGTGGAGGAAACACAGAAGGGCGCCAGCAGCCTTCTCCACCAGCACTAACGCGCCTTCGCTCTATTAAAATACGCCACTCGGTACAAGAAGCGCGTTTAGAGGCCTTTGGAACCGGGGAGGCCAGCTTGCTGCCTGGCTCTGTGGACGCTCAAATGTGGGAGCAGGACAGAGTCCTACACGGACATGGTTCCCACCACCAAAAGCGGAAACGGAATTTAATTTTATCCGAAGAATGCGAAACTGATTTTAAGACATGTGTTGTTTGCCTATGAAACAGCCAATCTGCTGGCGCATATCCCGATTCCTGGGGGCTCTCTGTGCCCCCTGAGAGGGTTCAATGCACCCTCCAGGTGTCCCTGCGCTTCCCTGCGTGTGACATACCCACAGCCCCCACACAGGACCCAGCACAGCTCCTGGCCCAGCCCCCGGCATGGGACCTGCCAACGGCAGGGAACCCATCTTCGCTGGAGACATACTTACAGTCTCTTCATGGATTCCAAGTGACTGAACGTTCCTGGCACCAAATGTGTGATTCGGTTGTTATGTAGAAATCTGTTCAGAGAGAGAATACCAGAAACTAACTCTCAGAAACGCCTGTCACACTCAGAGGAAAGAGTCCAGGCAGCAGGTCAGTGAGCTTGTCAGCAACCCCTCAGTGACTGCGTCTACATGAGAACCTGCGAACAGTATTTAGTTCAGAAAAGAACACGATTTTTTCCCCCTATTTTATCACCATGTACAAATAAAGAGAAAACTGTAAGTCCCGCTCTGAATTGCTTGACGAGGCAGAGACTTTACACCAACATGGGGCTCAGGTGTCTGGACAGACAGGAGCCCCTTCCCATCACAGAACCTGGACGACGTGCCCAGCCAGGGACCGGCGGGAAGACGGGAGGGCAAGACGAAATCAACTTACAGCCTTTCCAGCTTCGGCAGATGTTGGAATGACTCTGGGTCCAAAGTTTCTATCTGATTAAAGTGCAGGTATCTAGACAAGTTTAAAAAAAAAAGAAAAGAAAAGAAAAAAGAGAAAGGAGTCCGATTTTAAACAATTTTACTTTTGCAGATTGAGATTTTCTGCTCAAAAACAGGTTTCCTAGGTCATTTCCAAGTCATATGTCGTAGATGACTCTCTAGATTTCCCACGTCGGGTGGAAAACACGTGACATAATGGCACAGTATGATTCAACACAACTGAAAATCGGGACAGGCTGTGGAAGACGCCCCGGGCAGCGGAGGCTGGGACCACGTCCCCTCCCGCCCGGGGCCTGGCTGCTCCGGGGACCTGCTTGCCCAGGACACAGACCTTCACAGGAGAGAAGCCAAACTATTCCTACCTGCAGCACACACATAAGCACATGCACGCCCTCACTCAAACCTTCTACCTGCGTGTGAGTTTAGGGGGAAGAGAAACATCTAGGTTAATGCGGGAGCGAGCAGACCGTCAGCTCTAGAAACGGCTGTAGGAAGAATCACACGGCACCGGAAGAGTAAGATAATGTGTTTTCTCAAATGTTCTCTAATTATACAGAACATCCAGCATTTGTATTTCATTTACTATGACTCCTTACTTTCCGTAATTTACACACTTTTTACTACAACTAACATCTTCTCATTTTCCTGAATTACTGCTTCTCTCACTTGGAAATTGGTGTTTTCTCCCTTAAGTAAAATACTAGAAGTGGCAATGGGGTGCTCCCGCAGCAAGCCCCCACCACACGAAGAGGAGAGGGGGCTCCGCTGTTACACTGGGGGGTGGGGGGGCGCTGGGCCCAGCAGCTAGACTTCACCCCAAACCCAAATTCCAGAAACTCCGGAAACACACCAGGATCACTTGGGGACCTTCACTAACTTTGAAATTATCCTAACTTCGGTCACCAAAGTTCAGCTGCCTTTCCCTGCCCTCTGATCCTGTCCACGGCTCCCTGACCCAGCTCCCCGGGAGGGCGCACGGTGCCCCCTCTGAGTCTCAGGTCATTGCCAGGTCCGCCTCCCGTGCCTCCGTGACCCCTGCGGACAGGTCCCTGCCCAGCGCCCGCACATGAGCGGGGAACAGAGGGGTCACAGGGGCTGCCAAGAGGGGACCCCCGTCAGCAGGGAGTCCTGGGGAGGCCCCCAGGGAGGAGGCCGAGGAGGCAGGAGAGACTCCCCGCGGCCCCGCGGCCCCTAGGCCTCCCCTCCCGCGGCCAAGTCGGCCATGAGCCCCACCTCCATCTGCGCTCTCTGGGTCTGGTCACAGGCGCTCACCACACAGCATGCGGCCTCCCAGAGCCGGCCGGGCGAGGCTCAGCAGATGCCGGCGGCCCCAGGCTTGTCCCTGGGGGTGTGGAAGGGCTCCCGGCGTGGGGACGGGACCCGGGCCGCAGCCCCAGCTCCCTGCACAGAGTCCTCCCCGTGGGGGAGCCTGGGCCTACATGTCTCCGTGTCCGTCAGACTCTCGCCGACCTTCAGGGAATGAAGTCCCGACAGCAGAGACCCTAACTCCGTAAACTCCCTAACCCGGGGTCTTGAAGGTGTCGGGACCCAGCCTCCACCTCCTCCAGACGGCTGGTCAGAAAGCCCGCCCCGTGCTCCCGGTCCGGCAAGCCTCACTCCCCCAGACTCCGCCTCTTTCTTCCTGGAAAGTAGCTGCATCACCCCTCGGGAGGGTGAGCTCCACCTGCTTTAACCTTCCAGCACGTTTAAAGCAGACGCGACTTCCCAGGCGTTGCTGCGATGATGTCACTGCCCGTCCCAGGAGTGTCTCCTTTGTCCACCCGCCCTCCCCCTGGTCGTTTTCCAGACACTTCCGTGTGTTTCTGCAACGCTCTGAACCTTCTGTCCCCTCCTCTCTGAAGCGAAGATTATACAAAGGCAGGTCACACTTGAATCAAAATGGCGTGGACACAGGAGCCATGCGGGTTCCGGGGTGCCCGCGCCCCAGCCCTGCCGGGAGGTCCCCACCAGCAGAGGAAACACGCACAGGCGCGCACCTGCGCGGGCACACACCCCGTTACAGCAAACAGCCCTGTCCAGCCGTGCGACCAAACCGAGGGCAACTCTGGAACCCTCCGAATTGCTCCAGCTCCGTGACTGAAAAGTCAAACAAACCAGAAGGAAACTCCCACCGCCAGGATTCTGCTTGGAAGCAAACGTGCTGACTTCACAGCAAAGCAGGACTTCTTACGCAACCAAGGAAACAACATCCACATACGCTAGCCAGAAACACATGAAAAGGCTTGTTTTCTCCAAAATCATGGCATCATAAGGGAAGGTAGGAAGCCGGAAACGGCCTGCAATAAAACCACCTGCTGGCGCCCCAGATCCCTCTCCCCCAAGGACCTTTGCTGGTGTGCGAGGCTGTCCCTTAAGTCGGAAGCGCCGTGAGGACAGGGACCATGGCTCTCACTGGTCTGTCTCATGGGGCTCAGCACCGGGCAGCTTGAGGGCAGAAACCAGTGCCGTCCAGGCCCGTGGGGGTCGCAGACAGAGGAGTAACGAGTCGGCCACTGCTTTCTCAGTTCGCATGCACACACGCCCTGCGCCCCGTTAGTACAGACATGCATCGTGCAGACAGCAAACTTAGTTCGTCTTCCCTACGAGAGGCAGGAGGGGCGCAGGAGAGGGGCACTTACAGTTGTTCTAGAGAGGCAAGTCCCTTAAACGCCTGCCTGTCAATTGACTGGATCTCATTCTTGTACAAATAGCTGAAACAAGAAACGGGGGTAGGATTAGCGCACACACGAGACACCGTAACTCCAGGTGGAAGGAAGAATTACGTCGTATTAGAATACAGACAACACATTTACACAGGAGCGCGGTGACCTTCCTGGGGGCCTGCCGCCCTTCCCCACGCGACAGCATCCAGCCTGGACGTTGCTGAGCCAGTGCTGTGCCTTCAGACACATACCGGGCTCTGGGAGTGTGAGTTGTGGACAGGACACTTGCTCCAAAGCTTGAAGGAAATAAAACCATTTCCCCACAAACATGTAGCATGTGTTGATTATAAGGTTCTGTAACTGTGGTATTTTAAGATACCAGAAGCAATCTGGGGAGCAGACAGCACGAAGCCTGCGCTCACCGCAGAACCCCTTCCTTACTAAACAGAAGCAACGAGGCTCGTCAGAGGGGTCACAGCATTGGCTCAGGGCCTGTCCTTATATGGTCTGCAAGCTAAGAATGGGTTTTACATCTTTAACTGGTTGAAAATTTCAAAAGAATGACAATATCTCATGACAAGAAAATTATATGATATGTGACTTTCAGAGTCCATAAAGGACACAGAGGCACCACAGTTGTGTTAGTCTACGGCTGATGTGGGGCCACACGGCAGTCAGGAGCCGCGCAGAAGGGCGGCCCTTCCCAGAGAATCTGCCGCTTCCTGCACAGACCTCCCAGGGGTGAGGACCTTCCCCCGAAGTGCCGCAGTTCTGAGGACATGACTGGTTCTCGGTACCGTCCTTGTGAGCTCCGAAGTGTCCTAGTGAATACGGGGTGATCTCAGTATCAGACGAAGAGGCTCCTGCCCGCTGACGGGCGCCCAGGGACCGGTCAGCGCGCACAGGCGCCAGCCAGGCCCGCAGCAGGGCCTCCCGCACGCGGGCTACTCGGGGGCTGGGCTTCCGCCTTCCAGCCCCCCACGCACGGGTCTGTCTGAACGTCCGTGACACTGTGCTTCATCTGCATGAGGACCGTGCAGCTTACTGCCCTGGACTTCGTGACGCTTGGTGCAGGGCCACTCTGAACGCCTGCACGCCAGCGGAGCGGGGCCCACTGCTCCGTCTGTGCAGACGTGCCCAGGGGACCCCAGAGAACCACCAGCACCGCCCCCCCCCCGGAGACCAGGCAGAGTCCACCCGCCCGTGCAGACCCAGCGCCCGCCACAGAGTCCGCCACTCGGCCAACCTCTGCTCGCTGGCTGTGCTCTGGAATGAGCTAGTAACCTCTCTCTGCCTCCGTTTCTTCTAAGTAAATGGAGGTCACAGCAGTTTGGGATCACTGGGAGTAAGCAGACGTATGGAAAGCCAACAGAAGATGGCCTCGCCTATGGCCACTACGGTTCTGGAGAGAGCTACTCACCCTGCTTCTTCTGGACAGGGGTTTCTGGGCTCATTTCTTCAAAAGAACTTGAACATGACCCCCCACCCCCACCCCATGCAGGGTCACTTTGCAAGCACTTTAGAAGAAAACGTGACCCGGCTGAACCAAACTAATGCACACAAGTGCATGTCTGTGAGGACTGGGTGCTGGTCACCTGCCATAATGGGCCATACAGACTGCCCCCCAGAGTCCCCTGGGGCAGGAGCACCTGCCCTGGAATCAGGAAATACCAGTGAGGGGAGGTTTGGGCCTTACCATAAGCAACTAATCCTCAGTGTCTAAACCCACTGACGACGTGTAAAGGCTGAAGTAACCAGTGAACTTCAGAAGAGCTCCCCAATATTGAAACTGCACACAGTGTCCTCAGAGGTGCCCGTGGGAGTGTACTCTCCTGCCCAGGACGGGGATCGATGGGGAAGCAGGGTCCCTCCTCACCAGGGCCCCTGCCCCCACGCTTCCGCAGTGACAGGGCGCCTTCTGCCTTCCGCCAGTGGGCATTGCAGGCACGTGTGTGTGGGGAGAGGGGGCGAGGCTGGCGCGCAGTTGCCTTGATGGGGAGTGCGCCAGCAGACGGGGCCCCTAAAGTGTTACTTTAAAATATCCTTGTAAGTGAAAACCGAAATATCCCCCAAACTATAACACTAAATACATTTGCAATGTGAACAGGAAGTTGCTCTTAATTAATTCAAACCAAAATTCTTATAAAATAAGAAATAAAAGTATCACACACACACGCACACACACAAACACGTGAGCGCACACACACTATAGATGCTGGCAATCAGCTAACAGAGCCTGCTTTCTCAGAAACCAAACCTTCCTTCTGGAACTTGCACAGCACTTAAAATTAAAAGGAAAAAAAACAATAAATACATAATAGAAGGCCTTTCCCTCATTTTAAAAATGAGCAGTAAGACTTAATAATGTTCATACATTATTCTATTCCAGCCTATTCTACTCTGTTCTGTTCTAAAAAGTAACACACTATGCCAACAGTGACGGAAAATATTTATACCTAAAGCTTGGGATTACTTTCACTGAAGAATACATATTTCTATAAACAGAGTTAATGTGATCACTGTAGTTAGCAGCCAATGACAGGCCTCAAAATACACATCAACACTAATAATGTGACTTTGTGTTAAAAATCAACATAACTTATAGACATTTAGATTCACTTATGATACAAATTTCCCAAAAAAGTCACTGATATAAATCCTTCATTAAAATGGTTCTATCTTGGGGCACCTGGGTGGCTCAGTCGGTTGGGCGTCTGACTTCAAGCTCAGGTCATGATCCTGTGGTCAGTAAGTTCGAGCCCTGCATCGGGCTCTGTGCTGACAGCTTGGAGCCTGCAGCCTGTTTTGGATTCTGTGTCTCCCTCTCTCTCTGCCCCTCCCCTGCTCATGCTCTCTCTCTCTCTCTCAAAAATGAATAAATGTTAAGAAAAAAAAAAGGTTTTTAATGGTTCTATCTGGAAAGGCCATCTAAGTCTTAAAAGTAAGAATAATTTGCTCAAAACACATGACACGTACTCTTCTCTACAACCAGGAATGTAACTGGAATGTTTGTCTTTAATGCCTTCCAGTCTTGACTCAAGTGCCTGCGACGCAGCCAGCCTGGCCCTGCCAGCGAGGCCACTTTCGAACCTGCAAAACTGGCTTCAACAGGCAGATGATTTAAATTCTGACAAATAAGGTACTGAAAGTCAACTCTGAAAAGCGAACTGCAATTTTACTGCAGAAAAATAAGAAGAGGTGAAATCAGTTGGAGGAAGAAGGGAAAATTAGCAGAAACCAGTGACGTTCCAGTGGGATTTGTCATCTTCCCACACTTGCCCACAGCTGGACAGGCAGCTTGAGAACGTTCTCCCAGCTTCTCTCTCACAGGCCACCTGTCAGCTGCTCACACTGGCGAGGGCGTGTGAGTCACAGGCGACCAGAGTTCCTGCCCCCACGGGCCTCTGCCGGGCTCTGGCTTTTAATCTCCCTCAGCAGACGACTCACCGAGCCTCACAGCGAAGCATTCCTACCAACAAGAACTCATTTCAAAAAATCCCGGCTGAAAATTTACTCACCTTCTGAAAATGAAGCCTGTGAGGTGGATGTATCTGCAATAATTCTCAAGCAGCAAACAATTTGGCTCAATGATTAAATCGCCTGTACACTCACAACATTAGCTTTCCGGGTAAACAACTGATCGTTAACTTACAGATATTTTAAATTCTCCAAGTCTTCAAACGACCCGCTGGGTATGCTCTTGATCTGATTGTTGTTCAGAAGCCTACGAAACAAAGGTTTTGGTGAGAAGCAAATCAGCACCACTGCACCGCGTGGCGGGAAACACCCCCACTGCTTGGAAAAGGCCCGAGCGCGGCCCAGCCGTGGAGCGCGGCACCAACGCGGCTAAGGCCACGCCGCGGACGGCATCTCGGTGTTTCCCCCTCTGGTCAGGAGTCTCCTGAGCGCACGGGCGTCCCTGCCCTGGCACGCCGCTCCCGCCCCGTGTGCGCACACACCAGGTCCCCCTCTGATGCCAAGGCGTATCTGTCTGTCCTGCTGACTGTCACACCGTCCGCCTCAGCCGTCAGGAAGGCCCGTGTGGGCGCGCAGGGTGGTCCCACCAGAGGGAGGGGTTGGCCCACCCCCCAGGCTCCCATCCTGGGCCCACGGCCCAGGTGCTCTCTCCGCCGAGAGTCACGTTCTGGAGCAGTAAAGCCAGGGACCCCCGCCCCTGCTGCGCTCAGGGTACTCAACAGGGCCCTAGGCAACTGCAAACCCGCCAGCACAGGTCAGGTCTGTCCCCTTCACCTGTCCCCGCTTGGGGTCTGAACATGAGTGCACAACGGGAGAGCACCCAACCCCTCCCCTCCGGGGCCCAGCCAGCCCCTCCAGCTTGGGAGGGGGGCATGTGAACAGTGGAGGTGAAGGGGTCTGGCCCAGCCAGGGGCTGAGTCATTCACAGGGAGAGGAGGTGCCCGTGGCCATAGGTGTGGGTCACACCCACTTCTGAGGGACGCACACGGGTCACGGACGTCAAGCTGAGGCCAGACCCAAAGGCCTGGTGTCTCAATGCACATATTCTCATCTACGGCCTGGAGTCCACCCCCCCGATCCACGCCCCCGACCACGGATGCCCGCAGCTGACTGCTGTGGCTGAGGCCTATCCCCCGGTGAAAGCTGTGACGATCCCTACACTCTTCCCCACAGGCACCGACACAGTGTTTGGACTTACAGTGTATTCAAGTTTCTCAGCCTTCTGAACGCCCCAGGCTGGATCTCCCGGATTCTGTTAAAGCGAAGATCCCTGAAAGCAAATAAGAGATGGGCTCAGAGAGAGAAGTAAACCATCACCAGCTCACTCGGATTCAACACGGACAGGAGGCATTTCAGAAATTAAACCCTGCAGCTCATTCCCAGGCCCACTGCCTCCTCACTGAGGCTCACGAATCAGTGAGTATTTATGTGAACGACACACGGCGCTGTCCAGGGCCCAGGGTGGTTTACACAACAGTCCTGAAGGAGACAGACACCCCTCTAACTAACCAGATGCCCACCTCCGCCAACTCGCTGGAAACCTGATGTCACCAGGTCCTCCCAAAACCAAGGCGGGATGGGCCTACATGGACCACAGGCGCCGCCCGGCCACGGGAGGGTCCCGCGCGGCGGCACCAACCCTGACACGTCCCGGGCTGGAGCTCGGTGGTTTATGTGCAAACTGCCTACAACGTTCTCTCGGTGAGTAGCAGAGAGTGAAACAGCCAAGCTCACCATGAGCTAGGAGATCATCCACCCTCCCTGTGGATCGTACTCAGTACTCCCCCAGGTCCTCTCACTTAGATGTGGGCTAGAAGAGCGGTTACTGACTGGCTGGGGACAGGGAGACGACCAGGGCAGCCCAGGTGAGGCCAGAGCCAGGACCGCAGTGCCCAGGGGCCGAGCTGCCCACAGCCAGCGGCACAGCCGGGGAGGCACTGGGCAGGCAGCAAAGTCCTTTTTTACCCCTTCCCAATCCCGATTAAAATGTATAAATTTAATGTGAATGAAAGTCACTGAAAAGCAAAGAAAAGACGACTTTCCGTATCGAGGAGTCTTAGAAAACTTAAGTTTCCTTGAGGACAGGCCCAACCCCTTGTGACTTGGTGCAGCTGGATTTTCACGGGTGAGTTGGGGTCCCTGCCATTAGCATGTGGAAGTTGACTCCAGGGCCTCAGAACTGACCTTATTTGGAAACTGACTCTTTACAGAGGGGATGAGGGTGGCCCTACTCCAGTGTGACTCATGTTCTCAAAGAACAGGGAAATTCGGACAACGGGGACAGCACCACGTGAAGACGGGCGTGATTCTGCCAAGTGAACCATCACCCAGGACCGCCTCGAGCCAGCAGCCGGGACAGGGAGCAGTACCCCCCAGAGCTCCCCCCACGGCCCTGAAGGAACACGGAGCATCCCCCCCAAAGCTCCCCCCACAGCCCTGAAGGAACATGTAGCACCCCCCCAGAGCCCCCCCCACAGCCCCTGAAGGAACATGGAGCTTCCCCCCCAAGAGCTCCCCCCACAGCCCCTGAAGGAACACGGCGCTTCCCCCCCAGAGCTCCCCCCATAGCCCCTGAAGGAACACAGAGCATCCCCCCCAGAACTCCCCCCACAGCCCCTGAAGGAACACGGAGATTCCCCCCCCAGAGCCCCCCCACAGCCCCTGAAGGAACACGGAGC